TTTTTTTTGCCATGTCAAAATGTATTTTATTTAATTACAGTGAGAAAAACTTCTTGAAGGTAAAGAAACAAAACTGTCATTTACTCTTGACTTGGAATAGACCACAGAGCAAAATGGACCTACTTTTTTATTCTATTCTATTCTATTCTTGCCATGAGAATAGCCTCAGCTGCTGGCATGACAACGTACCTTTATTTTGAGTAAATTATGTGAGAATACATTTTTTAAAATTGAATAAGACTAAAGTTCTCATTTATGACAGTTAAAAAAATGTTTAAAAATTCCTGTATATACTCTATATGCCAAATCTAATGTGTAAAGCATGCATAAAAATCCATAATTGCTTTACTTTCTCAGAACACGCTGTTACTTGATGTTTTTCATTTGTTAATGGGATTTTTATGCTTCTCTGGCAGAAACTCAAAGCCATTGATGAACTGAAGGAGCAGCAGGCGGCCGGCAAAGTCATGCAAAAAAACCAGGTACTGTAGCAAAGCTTTATCATCTCATCTGCACCTCTCAATTAATTAAAATGAGAGCATTTTTCATTTGCACCAGTTTCTGAATTGATCACATCAGTTCATAAAAGGATTCGTTCGTTGCCTCCCAAAAGTTCATTAAGGTCAAAGTCTTAGTTTCTTTTTTATAATGCTTAATTGCTTCATTTTAATATTGTATTGCTATTGCTAATTACTGTATTAGTTTAATAATTATTATATTTTGTAATTATATGTTATATAATAATTGTAATATGTTCCCTCTTTTTACAGCTTGAGAAGATGCAGAAGGAGGCCCAGCTGTTGAAAGAGCTTGAAGACCTCGAATTAGGATTGTAAACTCACTCCACCAGTTTTTCACTTCGGTCATCAGTTTTCCAACATTGCTTCATCATACTGCTATGAATATGTATTGAGATGGTTTTTTTCACAAACTACTCATGGTCAATAAATAAGAGCCTGTTTTGCTTCTTTGAACATGGCTAATATAACAAGGACTAAATTGTCAAAAGCAATATTGCTATGCAATGTGACGTCCAGCACAAGAGAACATCCGTGAAATACGAAATAAAACAAATGTTGAAATTCAAACTGCGTGACTTTTATTATGTCTGTTGGGGAGCCGGAAGTGCTCATTTCTCCAGTGTGCAGCAACCAAAGCGGTCGCAGATTTCAACACAAACGCAGCTGAAATTGTTAACAAATAAACTCAACGGGACGAGGCGAAACCAGCTGATATTTCAGGTTTGATGAGAGCGTACCTTGTTATACTGAGTTTCGTCCCTGTAGAGTGTTTTGTCGAGTGTGTATTTGTGATATTTAGATGAGCCGGTGTTCATATTTGATCATATATCGCATGCGTGTGTGTTTATTTTACTCAAGCTTCTAGCTGTTTTGGCCTCCTTTTAATTTTTCTCTCCGTCTAAATGTATTTGTGTTAATTTTACACGTTTAGATGACTGAGGCTTTTGGGGTTTAGCGGTTTAGTCGTTTCAGGGGCCAAAAAAGCGATGCGTTTGTGCCGAAGAGCTCATCAGTTTTGTTATTGGATTGTTTTAGCTGATATTTCTTTAGTTTTCTGTTTAAAAATGTACCTTTAGCTTTAAACATCATCTGTATGAATCAAAGAGTGAATTTTCTTGGACCTAATTACGTTAGTTATATAATTTTAATAAGCAATCGTTTTGGTTTTTATTCAAAATAAATAAAAATGCAATGCTGTATGTATTGAGCTCGTTTAGTCTTTGATTTATTTATTCTGTCAAATGGCTGATGATTTACACGGCAACATCAGGATTTGCTTTGGAAATGAAAATTATTGTGTGATATTATCCGTATTTATACAAGCTTGCAAAGCAGGCTAAGACAAGCAGAAATTACATATGATGCATGTGAATGGTCAACAACATATAAATATATTTTTTCCCCTTTTTT